TGGCAAGGTCATGCACAGAGGCGGGGGGAGCCCTGATGCAGGGAGTGTGGTGCAATGCCCAGCACTGTGGACTCTGAATCCAGCAATCCTGGCCTGAGTCTTGGCAGAAGCTCCGGCTCGTGCTTCTTGCAGCGCCAGCTCTTTTGCCAGTCCCGGCGTGGCTTGGCTCTGCTGTCTCCTTGCACTTCCCTCTCCCTTGCTCTTCCCTGTGCTTTCACAGCTGGGCAAAATGCAGCCTCTGGCCTGGATCTGGCCCACAGCACGATTCTTCCAGCCCACGGACGGGGGCAGTCCGAGCCGTGGCACATGCAGCCAGCCCTCAAGCTCATCCCAACTCATTCAAAATGTGGATAAGAAATCAGGTTTAGATATTAGCAGATTGGACTTACCTTCGAAAGCGACAGGCAATACTACACACTGCAATGGTGATAAGCAGAAGGAGAATAACACTTCCTACGATTATCCCTATTAAAAGGGTATTGGAGGATGCTTGGGAAGACAAAGAGACACAAGGTTATGCTTTCTTTACATTCAGCCGTTCCTGGTACAACTGTAACAAGTGTTTTAGTGTGATTTGACCCAGGTACTTTTAGGACTGCATGCCTGTGCACGGGCTCTCTCTTTCCGGCTCTCCTTCTCCCCTTCCCTCTCCCACCAGTTAACTAACAGTACAAAAACCTGTAACTGGTTTTCTCTGTACATCAGGTGCCAGGATTCGTATTATTAGCTTTGCAGACTGCCAATAAATAGAGTAGGAGTAGGGAATTGGTGCAGGTCTTTCCCACTGGAAAAGACCTGGTGCCTATGCTTTCACTGAGGAGCAGGTGTGCAGACACCGAACAAAGGAAGGATGCATTCAACTGCTTCCAGGTATATAGCGCGAAATCTCTTGTGCAATTAAAGAGCTATGCTCTCTTGAAAGGACGGCTCTCCTCAGTGCTAATCACATCCCTCAGGAATCAGGACCCCTGGAGCCAGGAGCAGTGTTTCGTGACCGTGCCATGCCCACGGCTTGTGAGGCAGCGCTGCCACATCTAAAGCAGAGGTGTTTTGGCTATTGCTTGCTCCGCTGAGCTAAGGGCCAGGAAGGCTTTCCTGGAGCTAACTGGCAAATCGTCTGCACAGGTAGCCAGGCACTGCTATAAATGAAAATAATATCTACGGAGCAGGGCCAAAATGGTTGTGCCTGAAATGGAAAGCTCATGGAGGAAAATCATTTCCTTCCTTATAAGTCAACCAACCACTTGGCTTCCCTGTCCCTGGGACTAGAGCAAAACCGCCGCTGCTCCGACAACGACCAAAGAGGGTGGTGCAAGATGGCTGTCAGATACTTTGGTGTCTCTTGTGCCCGACTTCCGGCAGTCTGAGAGACAAGTCGTTAGGTTCTGCCAAAATACTTCGGTGGGGTCCTTGATGACTTTATTAATCGTGAGGGCTGGATTTCTGGGTAAACAGTGAGAGAGGACTGGAGGTAGGGGTTCAGCAAGAAGAAGGGAGGTAAGGAACCACGAACCAACCCCAGACTCCAAAAACAGAGAAAGCAGGAGGGAGCAATCGGGCAAGGGGCGAAGCTGGGCCAGCAGTCTGGACAGGTGGAAACCAAGGCAGGAACTGGAGCTACGACTGGGCAGAATGAGACATGCCCTTGTTTGAGCAGGACTGGCTCAAAGTCCGAGGGGGATGCATTGCATTGCTCCGTAGACCCTCGATAACCAAGTCCACAGTATTATGACTCACTCCAAGGAAGGGGAAGGATTGCATCAGGACAGGTTTTCATTTGGGATGTGGCCTAGCTCAGTTACATCAAGATACATTATATATATGGGGGGTAGCTAGGCAGATGTAGTGGCTCCTTGGATTTTGTACATCCCACTGGGGAACCCTTACTGTAGGGTATCTAGCACTCTGTGGGCCCACTAACTTCACCCGCAGGTATCTGCATTGCCTGGGCCACGCATCTCAATGCATGTGGGCAATGTCCCTGCGTGGTGGCAAAAGCAGGATGATAAAATCATGGGGGCAGGAGGAGAGGTTCATCTCTGGAAGGCGGCCGATCCTGGAATGCAGATGTGGGGAGGATAAAGCAGAGGGTTAACCCAAAGGACCCTCAGAGGTAGACACAAGATGAATGAGAGACTGGCTGGTACGTGGTGTCCCCAGAACCAGCTGCAGGACGGACGCTGTGCCTCGGCAATGAGGCCCTTCTGCTCTAGGGTTAGGAACAAACCTGTGACCACTGAACTGAAACTGGGGCCGGGTGGATCAACAAGCAGTGCCAAAGGAAGCACAGCAAGGAGCAGAGTCAGAGGTGGCTGTACGCCCAGATCACTATTATGCACACTAACACTTTGGCATTGCTGCTAGCTCATGGAAGGAAAAAGGCTGAGCAGCGCCTGCAGCGTTTGTCGCAATGCCTCTGGGTCCAAAAGAGCTGGAGGGCAGCACTACAGCCTCAGGGACTTGCACAGCTCGGGGCTTTGAACTCTCACAACAGAAGGGCAGTTCCCTGTCTAGGGACTTGTTTCTTCATCTGGCCCAGAAGGGACTTGCCTCTTCATCTGGCCCAGGCTCTCCAGTCTGCTGTGGTCTTCTCAGGTGTGGACGAGCTGGAAGCTGTCCTGGTGGAAGAAGCTGACCGTGAAGAGGCTTGTTTTCTGGTAAAGTCCTAAGGCCTCAAACTGGAGCCCAATCCCATAAACGTGCCCAACAGGTAAACTTGAAGCTTAGTTTCTTGTTCCAACAGGTAAACTTGAAGCTTACTTTCTTGTTCTGTCTTGGCCTGGGAAGGAAAGGATGTACAGATCAAGAGCACTTCCTGGGAACAGGGGGCTCTGCCAAACAAGGGACATTTCCCATGCCCATTGCATACAAGGTAGGGCACTGTTAGAGGAAGGCCACAGTGGGAACCCTGGACATCTAAAAGAAGTATTGAAGAAAGGCTGCAAGGCAGAATGAAGGCCCCGTGGATCGTGACACCCTGCGGCACAGCTGGAGCGTGGAGGGGTTGTGGACTCTGCCTAAAGCCAGCTAAGGTGCTGGAGTCTCAGGCAAAAGGAGGTCTGGAAGGGACCTCCAGAGGTTCAACTTGGAAATCAATGAGTCAAACAGATGCAATGAATGTGGTATTTGTCTTAATTGAGGTACTGGATGACATTACATTTCTCAGAGGAGAGAAGAGCTGTTATAAAAGGCTGCGTCCACTTGTGCTGTGTCCCTTTTTAGGATGGAAACTCTGCTGCAGAAGTCACTGGGGTCAGAGATCTAGAGCAGTGGTTTGCAACCTGTGGTCGGTGGACCTCTGGGGGTCTGCAGACTATGTCTAGGGGGTCTGCAAGAGATGACTCTGATCAATCAAAAGTATGTGAATGCCCACACTTACAAGTCAAAGGGATCCACACACCTCCACTGGAATCTTTTTGGGGTCCACAAAGGAAAACAGGTTGAAATCCATTTTATATCTAGAGTGAGAAGCGGTCCAAGAGCACTCGGCAGCACTAGGGCTTGTGCAGTCTGTGCGCTTCATTTTTGGCTACTAAATAAGAAAATTGGAGGTCTAATATATTCCATAATCTGGGTATGTCCCATAAACATACCCTCATCCAGGATCATGCATTACATAAATCTCTTGAAGGATTAAAAAAGGAAGGCCGATTAGGCAGAAAAGACTCTAAGCAAATAAATGACCAGGTACACAAGGTTATTTGAACCAAGGGACAAACCCAAGAGACACATCGAACAAAAAAGGCAGGGAGATATGCAGAGTGGTAAGATTGTCACAGCACTTACTGACAGAGGTAGATGGAGGAGGTCCACTGTCAAGGCTTCCTCCAGATCCCTTCTCTGTACAGTATGGGGGGGCCCATCCAAAGTCGCAGTGGCAGTTTCCGTTGCTGTTGCAAATCTGAAATACAGCAAGTGCGTAAACCACAGGAAACAAATAATCAAATTCATCTTCTGTTTTGGTGTGTGATGAGTGCCTCCTCTTTGGCCTGCACACTTGGTATCCCTTAAAGCGCAGTGGGGGAGCAAACTGGCCTGCTAATTTGGTCCCTCTAAATCCCTCTACGTAACAGGGCAGAATAATGATAGCAGCCTCTGCATCTCTTGGCTAGAAAGTGAATGTACTAGTTTTGATTTAGGAGTACTCATCTTAG